CGAAGGCCGTCCAAGCTTTCTGTGTGGAGTTCGCATGTTTCTCCCTGAGTGTGGATGGGTTTCCTCCCGGCACTGTGTTTTTCCCCATCAACCCAAAACATGCATAATAAGTCAAATCCTGCAGCTAGCCTGGCTCAGGATCTGGAGACGGGTCCCTGAGCACTGCACAGCAATAACTCACTGCTCCTGTCTTTGGTAAAGGTTCAGTCTTCAGTTTGAAACTCAGAATTCAAAGTTTTACTGCTCCGCTGGCTGAAGGATGGGTCAAATGAATGAATTTCTCTCATGAGGGATTGATAAAATATAACTTACAGTCCAGGAAATCCAGTATGTTTTTATGTTTTCTATTGCTTTAGTTTTACTAATATTTAGGGATAGCTAGATAGATAAAATAAGATAAGGTAGACAGACGGACGGATGGATGGACGTACGGACGGACAGATACTGTAATTTCCGGACTATAAGCCGCTACTTTTGAACATGCGGCTTATAAAACGATAAGGATAATATATGGACAGATTCTTTGTTTGTCGATTCATATATACGGTCTATGGTTTGGCAACACAGAGGATACACGCAGTCTGAGTGCAGAAAACACCACTGTCTGTGCAAAAATATCGGAATATTGATATATTGTATCGTTTAATGTGATGATACAGTATCGATATCGTGGGCTGCTGTATCGATATATCACCAAGAGTATGTTTACGTGTGTTTTACTAAATAATTCTGTTACAGTGCTACAGTTTTGATGCTTGTTGAGAGAAAGGAAACTCATTTATGCGACACATTTGACATTTTGACACAGTTTTGATGATTAAAATGTTTGTGTTTCATATGAACTTTGCACAAGAAGTGGTTTAACAAAGACTTTTAGTGTCACAGCCATGATTTTGCCTTTATTTTTTATTTAACCGTATCGAATCTATTTGAAATATATCGTATCGAATCGAAAGTGCACTGTATTGAGATATGTACCGTATCGTGGTCTGTGTATCGAGGTATGTATCGTATTGCCAATTTCTTAATGATACACGGCCCTAGTTAACACAGAACATGGGTTAACATGAAGTTGCAGTGTTTGCTAGTGATGTTATCAGTGCACTAAAACAGTTTATCACCGTTTGATAAAATAAGTTATGATGCTAAATGAACATTAGTGAGGGGGATACGTCTTACCAGTATGTGTAAATGACGAGAAGAAACGTCTCAAACTTCAGTAGCTGGACATCTGCTCATACTTGATAAACACAACTAGCCCCGCCCCCGAGAGAGTCTGAAACCTGCTGAAATCCTCCAAGACACTGACATGATACAGACAGAACAGAGGCTCTTTCTGCAGGAGACATGCGCAGTAAAGCGTAGGAAGAGACGGGGGTGATGTGCTGAGGAAGATGCTCGTTTGATTGTGTTTTGAACTGTTATTTTGCGCTTCATGCACACACTCTCCTCATGGAAAAAACACAAACAAATGGAGATGATGCAGCTTTTAAGTTAACGGCGATTGATGTGACTGTGGAAGAAGGAAACACAGCTGCTCCACGTGAGCCCAGCATCAATGAGTCGGTGGTGAGATTTTGGCGACGGCAGCGTGACGAACTGACTCAAAGCAAAAAGACGACAAAAGCTTTCAGAGGCGATAAAAGCAGACAGCCCAAATTTGAAAACGTTCTTGAAGACGTGGACACGTGCCGCTTATATTCAGGTGCGGCCTATATATGTACTGTTTTAAAGTTTAGTTTAAATTTTAGTTGATGCGGCTTGTATTCAGGTGTGCTCTATAAACCGGAAATTACTTTAGATAGATATAAACAGGCAGATAATAATTTATTTATCCAGGAGAAAATTCATAAATGCACCGATACTCATACTGTTATCAGATATTGGTCCTGATCCAGGAAAATTTGCAGTATCAGGTGTCGGTTCCATGATATTGGTTAGTTCGATATCTTAGTTGGACTTTACTGACAGATGTAGGCCCAGGACATATCACGATGTTTGACCTTTAATTCATTCAAAGCTCTTCAGTAGGGTCCGGTCAACGGAGGGAAACAGGCAGATTTTTGACATTCAAATGTCTCTTATTCAGAAACTAGAGGGACTATTGAAATAAGTAAAGTATCAGAATGTAGGAAAGAGTTACACTCCAACAGGGTAAAGTTAAACCTGTGATATTCTTTCAAGTTGTTGACAAAAAATTTTAAAAACTCATGTCGGTAACGGAGGGAATGAAATATGCAGCACTTTTTGGGCAATAAATCCAAACAGTGATAACTCTTGGTTCTCACTTCCATATCCTTAACAAACTGGTTTGAATATTTGCTTCATATAGTTTTCTACCATATGGTACAAGATTAGGTTGAAAAACCTCTTACTTTTTGAGTCATGAGATTTTTTATTAAGAAAGGTCATGGTAACGGAGGGAAAATTGTGCAAACAAGTAGAAGGTGCAGGATTTTACATAATTTGTCATCTTTTTTCTTCCAAATACTTTAATGTTACTTCAAAATGAAAGGAAACAATTTCTCTAAAATATGTCAGTCCTTCCAAGCTAATTTTTATCATTTTAAATACATTTCTTTAAAAAAAAATCATGTACCTTCATCAACAGTTCAAAGATGGAATAACACAAGATATGATGAAATACATCCATTTATTTACATGATTTGCAGGTCTTTGAAATTTGGGAAATAATTTTTGTTCCATGTTTCATACATGGTCTGTTTAAAACATATGGAACTTTAGAACCAAAAATGGTACAGAAAAAAGGTCAACAGTTTCATAAACTAGAGTACATATGTTATGTGTTGAATACATTTTTATATCAGATGCATTAACTTGAATTTTTGGCCTTGCTGTGTATTTCTGCTTGACCGGGCCCAGTAGTTACTTGTAAGATACATAGAAATTAAATAACACAATCGGATCAATTCTGTAATAAGTTAATTGTTTTGAGAGAACAAAAAAATGCAGTATTCAGTTCCTACACTGGTGTTGGCGAATATCGACGCTGACTTTCAGGTAGGTGGGCGAATGCACAGTTGTTTACAAATTCACAGATTCAATGAAATGACCTAAGTTGTCTGAAGTAGTTCCATTGTAGAAGATTAAAACTAATGGAAGTGTCACAACTTTATGACGGCACGGAGCTGAACATTTTCCAATAAGCCTTTCACTGGAGCGTTCCATCTCCAAAGGTCAACCTGGATCGATGCAGTCGTATATTTAAACGTTTACAAGAGTTCTTTGTCTGCACTTATGAGACAGGCTGTCATGCCCACCTTCATATTCTTGTTTGTTTCTTCATACTTTGTTGTCACTGGATTTGATAAGCAATTAATGTCTTGATCGTACGTTTGAAAAGGTTGAAAAGGGTACAATATTTGTTTTTTGAAGCACTTCACAATAATAAAATAGTATGTCTTTTGCATTTGTTCTGTCAGTGCACCTTGAATCTTTGTTTTGACCAGTTTTTAAACATATCTAGTCATGTTTTGTTTCATTCACACGTTTAAACACACAAATCCTGCATTTTTGAGCTGAGTTCTTCACTCTGTTCCACTTTATGATGTCATGGGGCAATACAGGAAGTGATCCAATGTGTTTTTTAAACTCCATACACCTTTGCTGGAATCATTTGGATTATTTCAGCCCTGGAAGTTTCTCAAAGGTGAAACAGAGAATTTAGAATTTTGGAGATGTAGACAGACTAATAATGCATGTACTAAAACAGGGGTTTTCAAATTCAAAAAAATGAAAACCCCCACTGGTTAAATCCTGGTTTAGACCTAGTTTTAGTCCTGATTTTAGTCCTGGTTTTAGTCCTGGTTTAGTCCTGGTTTAGTCCTGGTTTAGTTCTGGTTTAGTGCTGGTTTAGTTCTGGTTTTAGTCCTGTTTTAGTCCTGGTTTTAGTTTTGTTTTAGTCCTGGTTTCAGTCCTGGTTTAGACCTGGTTTAGACTTGGTTCAGACTTGGTTTTAGTCCTGATTTAGACTTGGTTTAGTGCTGGTTTAGTTCTGGTTTTAGTTATTTTTAGTTCTGGTTTAGTCCTGGTTTTAGTCCTCGTTTAGTCCTGGTTTAATCCTGGTTTTAGTTCTGGTTAAATCCTGGTTTTAGTCCTGATTTTAGTCCTGGTTTAGACCTGGTTTAGTCCTGTTTTAGGCCTGGTTTATTGCTAGTTTAGACCCAGTTTTAGTCCTAGTTTAGTGCTGGTTTAGTCTTGTTTTAGACCTGGTTTAGTGCTGGTTTAGACCTGGTTTTAGTCCTGGTTTAGTTCTGGTTTAGTGCTGGTTTAGTTTTGGTTTTAGTCCTGATTTTAGTTCTGGTTTAGTCCTGTTTTAGACCTGGTTTAGACCTGGTTCAGACCTGGTTTTAGTCCTGATTTAGACTTGGTTTAGTGCTGGTTTAGTTCTGGTTTTAGTTCTGTTTTGGTCCTGGTTTTAGTCCTCGTTCTAGTTCTGGTTTCGAACTGGTTTCGACTTGGTTTTGACCTGATTTTAGTCCTGGTTTACTGCTGGTTTAGACCTGGTTTTAGTCCTGGTTTAGTGCTGGTTTAGACCTGGTTTTAGTCCTGGTTTAGTGCTGGTTTAGACCTGGTTTTAGTCCTGGTTTAGTGTTGGTTTAGACCTGGTTTAGAGGCGCTGTCCACACTGCGCACGGGAGAAGACACAGTCCACCTCACCTACCGCTGCACTAAAACATGTGTGAATGAAACAAAACACAACTTTGGGTATGTTTTTGAGGAGGTAACAACATTCTAACATGGCTTAAAGCTCACCAGAGTAAATTTTGATTAATATGTGTTGTGTTTGAGCAAAATTTTGTGAAAAGCACTTATAAACTCATCTTGGTGAGTAATTAGGATGCTCAGAATGCATAAGGTAAGGAACATTATGTGTATATCTGCATATTTTTTCAGCATTTCCAAACCGAACACAGATGCACTGACCCAAAACTTCATTTACTCCAACAAAATGTAACCGTGTGTGTAGTGTGCCTTACCTTCCACAAGGCCTCCTCAGACTGGGGTGGTAATAAGTGAGAGAACCAGGGGACATGACGTTCACAGGGCAGCCTCCACTGTACTCCTCCTGGGCCCAATCCTGAAATGTGAAGAAATGACTTTTTATTTACTTGATTGTATTTTATTTTAGTAGTTTTAATCCTGTAACTCTGCTAGAAAATAAACAGACAAATAAATGTGTTGAGTGAGAATTGATGAACTTTGGTGCTTATAGATCCCAGTAGTTAGAGATATGAAAGTATGGATTTCTTAGGGAATCCTAAGATGGTGAAGAGAAGATGGAGAAGCTGAGGCAACTATGGGTTTTTCTGCTGCTGTAAAGAAAGGAACTAAAGTTTGGCATTAGAGGTGAAGAATATTCTAGGAATAATCATGATTTTCTAAAAGCCTAGATGTTTCCAGGTTTCCATCAAAACTCATACACTATATTAATGTAACTTTCACTGTGATTGTGATTGTGATCTGTGGTTAAATCCAGCTGGCACTCGGTCAGGGCCTGACAGAGGCTGACCAATAAGAGGAGTGGACAGGCAAAGTGTCTGCAGTAGAGCATAGCCAGGATGGTGCCACCTAGTACCTCCGCTCAATTTCACTTTTCTCCAGAGACTAGGTCAAGAATCGGAATACACTAGATGGTTCACAAAAACCCTGGAAATGTGAGTTCGGGCACCAGCCAATGAGCGAAGAGCCATACATTTTGTGTTGGCAATGACTCCCGAGATTGAGGATTTAAAGCCAGAACAAAGAGAATGTTTGGTAAATTTTATCAACGGGAAAGATGTTATTGTCCTTCTTCCATTTGGGAAAATCTTAGTACACCTTTAGCCTTGTAAGCGGTGCATTACATACGTCACAACCAAATAGCAGCGATTGGTTAAATAACAAAAAAAGAACCCACCTGCCGTCAAGCAAACAAATCCTCATGGTCAGACGGTTTCTACAAAGTGAAACCAGCTGATGAATCAGGCTAGCATAACCTATCCCAAGCAATTGTTTAATTAATTAATCATTGGATTTATATAGTGCATTCCAAGACACACAAAGCATGTTTACAGAGCATCATTCATTCACTCTACACACTGCGGTGGTAAAATACTATTGGAGCTGCAGCTGCCCTGGGACAGACCGAATTGAGGCTGCCAATCTGCACCATCGGTACGTCTTACAGTAGCGTGATTCATCAGCCGGTTTCACTTCGTGGAAACTGTCTGACCTCACAGCATTACTTTACTTTTTTTTTTCATTTAACCAATCGCTGATATTTGGTCATGACGTATGTAATGAGCCGCTAACGGGGTTAACTGGTATATTAAGCTTTTCCCAAATCCTGTAGGAAGAAGGACATTAACGTCTTTCCCCTTGATAAAATTCACCAAACATTCTCTTTATTCCAGCTTTAAATCCTCGATCTTGGGCATCATTGCCAACACAGAATGTCTGGCTCTTCGCTGATTGGCTGGTGCCCGGACTCACACTTCCGAGGTTCTTGCAAACTGTGTATTCTGTGTAACTGTGTATTCTAGTGATTCTGTTGCATTCTGATTCCTGACCTAGTTGTTGGAGAGAAATTAAATTGAGCAGAGGCACTAGGTGGCGCCAGCCTGTCTCCCTCTGACCCCCACCCTCACTCATACACACACTTTCATACTAGGCAATGTGGGTGAAGTGTCTTGCCTAAGAACACAACTGCTGGCACCCCACTGCGCCACCTGAAATTCCCAGTGATCTCCCACCCAAGATTAACCAGGCCCACACCTGCTTAGCTTCTGAGATCTGATGAGGTCAGGTTTGACCATCTGTTATGGCCACAATCTGTCATGGTGCAACAATAGGGTGAGAGGAAGACTAAGGGAGGAGAGCGAACAGTTCATTTTGATACATGTTCCTCACTCATGGTTCAAAATCTGGTATACAAACAAAAAAAGAATATTTAAAAAACACTTCATTATAATAGGTCCCTGTACCATTCGTTCTTTTGAACAATAAAATAAATGAAACAATAAAATGAGAAAACAGCTTGTTCATTATTAAGTTTTAGTGGCATAAAAAATAAAAAAAATAAAAAACATCATCATCATCGTGCCTATTTCAATTTTGAAATTTTGATATTTTATTCTCTTCTAGCAGCATAACTTCCGGGGCATATAAACAAAAGAGAATAAAATATCAAAATTGAAATAAGCGCCGAGCATAGATCTATTTAGCACCGAGACATTCATGTTTTGGACATTAATGAAATAAACAGTTTTCCCATTTTCTAGTTTTTTTCAAAAAGAACAAATGATACATGGACCATAATCTGACACCACCAAAAGTAACATCATTATCATCATCAGGGGGAATAAATCACAATTCTGTATTTATCATCATATTTGTCATGGATTGAAATGTTAGGATAAAGAAGGGGAGAGACAGTGGCTTTACAGTATTAAAATGAAACTGAGGAAGTAGTGGGCTGTGACTAACACGCAGCAACTTATCAGTGACTTGATTAATTAATGTCAAAGCTATAAATATTTTTTCTAGAGCATCCTTAAGACAGACAAGTGAGTGAACCCATGAGGTGTAGTTGACAGCATGTTATATGACTCATGGTATTGCCATTTCATTTCCTCCATCAATAAGACCACCTGATGTTGTGATATTTAAAAAAGTCACTTAATCCTCTATTGATAAGATATTTCAGGCCATTTACTAATAAACCAGGATATAAGAGTGGATGACGTGAGTAAACTTTGGAATTTTCCTGATTATGAACCAAGAATGTTACAAATACTTTGCACCAGTTGTTTCAAAAATAACAACTAATGCAAGTTACCCAGAATGTGATGGAGAAATGAAAAAAAATCAAATAGTAGATATAATAGTGTACATGGAAAATGTGTTCAGTCTAATCAAGGTGGTGGAGGGGCCAATGGAGCAGATTGGCAGCCTCACTTCCACAAGTCTACCCAAGGGCAGTTGTGGCTACAGTAGTTATAATATTAGAAAAAACAGACTCAAATTGTCAGTTTTAACCGTAATATTTTCTCCACCCGTGAGTTCGGTGTCTGCTGAGACTGAACCAGTTAACTAAATTAGTACGTTTATTAAAATAAAACATTTGGTTGATGCACACAGGGGCAGGCTAACACAAACAGCAGCTTTTCTCCACCACCAATCACACTTACGTCCATGTGATTGAAGTGTTTTGCACAAGAACACCAAATGTCAGTATAATAATAATGCTTTACACTTGTTATGCACTCTCTTGAAGTCTCTCACAGAGCTACACGCTAGTCATTATTCATTCACTCCACACCCTGTGGTGGTAAGAAACTATTCCAGCCACAGACTGACGGAAGCGAGGCCAATCTGCTCATCCGCTCCTGCGACCATCACCAAAACTAACACACGCTCCACTTTCATCTGAAGCAAGGCTGGTGAAGTGATTTGGACACAAGGACAGAAATTAGTCTGAATCAATTCTCCGATCTTGAGCTGCTGTCATTGTTGTATAAACCTTAAACAACTCTCCACTTCTGTAGATGAAGTACTATTCAATTTAGATGTAGAATTCCATTTTTGCAAAAATAACTGTGTGGAAAGCTTCTGTGTACTTGCACATGATGGTTTCCTTGTAATGTGTATTTACAGTATACACTCACACATGCATGTACAATCATCACACGGAATAATCTGTCCAGCTAATGAAAAACATGTACACTAAGAGACATTAAAAACGCAACAGTCTCATTTTTCGATATTATTTCTCAATTTAATAATGAATTTGGTGTTACAAATTTGAATGATATTGAACATGAAAGGACAAAACCAACAATAGAAAAGGTAAAAACAAAAGAAAAATTCAGCCACAGATAACAAATGTCAATATTTTGTGTGTCCGCTGTTTGCATCCAATAACGCTTGCACTCGTCGTGGCACAGAAGTCATAAGCGCGTTGATTTCGGCCACCGAAATCGTGTCCCACTCTTCCAAGGGAGCAGTACGAAGATCCGCAACAGTTGCTGGAAGTGGGATACGAAGGCGCACACGGTGATCCAGACTGTCCCAGAGGTGTTCTATCGGATTCATATCCGGAGAATAAAGCGGCCAGTCCATAACCTGCATGTTGTTTTTGGCCAGACACTCCTGACAGATGCGTGCGATATGCAGATGTTAAAGTTGGCACCAATGGCCTGCTCTCTCTCGTTTGCTGCTAAGCGTGGCATGATGACCGCGTGTGACAGCTTTCATTTTTCCTCCGAGTTTTTAAAGCCTTCACCAGCTGAGCTCAAATCATTGAAATAATCATCGAACTTTTCAAACGAATGTCCTTACGACTCACACATTGAAAAGTAGGGATTGGCACCTTCTGGCATGTTATTTTGTTCTTTGGGCTGAAAGGTGTGGCTCCATTGTTTCATAACCCATGACTGATCGTAAACAAAACAGTTTTCGTGTACAAAGTTTTTTTATTCAAAATAATTTGGCATTTAACTTTGTTGCGTTTTTAATGCCTCTTAGTAGTTCATGCAGTTATTTAACTCTAAACAGCACAGAGATGCTTTCAGTAAAATCCACTGCTCCAAATTATCACTTTGTAACAGTAAAATGCAACGAGCTTCAAGTTAGCCCCATAAAAACACATTGTTGTATCAGCGGACCTTTGCTTGTCCCAGTCCAATTTCATTTTTCACAATCATTTCCGAGTCAGATCAGGTAAGGCACATTTTTAATCAGAAAGCCTACACGTGTTCCCCTTTGCTCTGAACTGTAATATAAGACCTCCCTCAGGCTCAAAGGAAATGCAGTCATATTGGAATGTCTCCTTCACCAATGCGCATCAAACATAGCCCAGAGCAATCTTCGACGGCGTTACCTGAACATTCTGTAATGGAAATGCTGTTTGGGGATTCGTCTCGTACTTTTGCATGACTAATGTTGTGTTTTATGGTGGGCTAATGTATGCCGTACATCAAGCTATACAAAAGTGACATTAAAGGAACGCGAGGAAATATATGTTTTCAGCAATGTGGGTTGGAGAATAATTTAATGTAGCACTTACAAGAGCCTTGTAAGTGCTAAGAACATTTTACA